CCCAAACAAAAGGCTACGCCTTTTATTCATTCACTTGCTTTTGAATAAGATTTGAAAAATAAAAAATTCTTACATATTGTTTCTAAATATGTCATCTTAATGGTAAAAACTATTGTTCTTCGTATATTGAATCGTTAATAATGAAAAATTATATTCTCATGTTTATTTTTGACCTAATCTTCAACTGAATTGTTTCTTAACCGAATAAAATGTTTTGATTATTAGTTAAAACATTTTGTAGGGGCTATACAAAGAGTTTTGGATAATAGAGCTTCCTTCAATTCAAATTGCAACATGATAAGTTCTTAAATTCAACTACCCCACCATCAAGTTGTTTGACTCTCTGTGTGTGTATTTTCGTAAACAAGTGATTTATTTTGGTTGATGCTTCGATGTATCCATGTGTTTATGTATACGAGTATATAACTAGCTATTCATAGTAAATGGTGTCAAATATAACTATAACATAAATGGAGGAGAATGGAACTTGTATGTGCAAAAGAGAATGTGTTGCATTCATCTTTGTTAACCAAACAAATCTATAAATTTTATAATTGAACTTTTATGTTGAATTTATGTTATGTTGGCGTATAATTTTGTGTGTCATATCCATTGTAGGATTATATATAGCGACTACAATATGGATAGAAATTGGATACATAATCCCGATAGAACTAGTACTGAATATTTGTTAGGGATTGAGGAATTCGTTAGAGTTGGAAGCAACCATGTCAATCATTGAGGTCATTCTGAGTGCTTGTGTCAAAAGTATAATAATTGCTCTTGGAGACCAGTGAGTAAAATTCAACAACACTTGATCATACATAGGATGTCATACAATTACATTAAATGGAATCATCATGGTGAACGATCGGGGGCCGTCTCAGGTTTTCTACCACTAACTTGTTTTGCAACTCTAGTCTGACTGATCACATTGATTGTGATAATGATCAAGTGATGGATATAATTAATGATATGTATCCAAATACCTCGACCATCATGAGCAAATGTATTAAAAAAGATGAAGTATTACTTGATGATGATACATTGGGAAATAATCAGACGTCTAAGATGCGTAGGCAAAAGATAGATAAGTATGAAAAGTTGTTGAAAGAAGCACAAAAAGAACTTTACCTTAGTTGTAAAGATTTTTCTGTGCTAACATCAATGTAGTGTTGATGCAATTGAAAGTGAGGATTTTGATGACCAACAAATGCTTTGGTGGACTTATGGAGATCTTGAAAATGATGCTTCCAAAAGAAAATCAATTGCCTCATACTCATCGATATGTTCAAAAAGTTTTAAATTATAAAATATGCTTTTTGAAAATAGAGACTTTCATGTTCTCAATCTAACCGTATTGAGAATAAAAAATTGGCTTATCTGTAGCTTTTAAGCTTAAAAAACATGCTCAAGTCCAATTTCATGAGTTTGATAGATCAAAACTTTAGTTCAAGTTTCATATGCAACATTGGACATTTGCATGGTAAAAAAGATTTTTAACTTATTTTATTCTTTACTCATGTTCAATATTATCTAGTATGGAATAATAAAACTCAAGGTTGGGGTTCAACCTTTTAGTATGGAATAATAAAAATAAAAGTGACAAATAACAAACTCGACTTTTTGGCTCAAGATCTAGATAGCCAAAAACAATTGATACAAGCGCAGATTAGAAGTACCAAGCTCGAGTTCGTCTTAATTGAGAAAAACTCTATCCAAATTTGCCATTTGTTGGGTGAGGCCTTATTTTCTATAGATAACCCACCACCGAATGATGATTTTTTTTCAATTTTAGACTCCGGCATGAGAAAACACAATGTCAAGCCAAGCCCTTACCCGTCTCAATGAAATTCGTATCTCCTTTATCTCACACCAAAAGAAGCCCTTTTCTCTCTTTTTTTGCACCAATGAAATTTTATTGTTTAAATGAGTGACGAGTCAAAAGAAATGCATTATGAAAAGATGTTATTTATTTTATGTTCCCACAAATTCATGTTTGCCTCAATGTACCTTTATTTTTTTGACATTTGCATTTTGCTAAAAGATATAAATAGTAAATTTATGTTGTTTTATCCCCAAAACTAGCAATTGAGTCATTCGCGAACTTGCTACAATAGCCATGACAAATAGTTTGGATAGGTGTTGATAGATTGTGTTCCAATCTGTCATTTTTCCATCGTGTGTAGAGACATCGATGTTGGAAAATTTTACAGATAGTTGTGCATATTATATTCACAAAAATCACGTCGTTTATTTGGGTAAAATCGAAACATAATCTCGACTTACTGAAATGGATTTGAGAAGCAAAACAATAATTTAACGATCTGAACGCATCAATATGAATTCATCCATTTCGATTCTTGAACGAAAGCAAATCATTCTTTGGATCGAACCTCGCAACATATATAATAAAAGAAATCAGAAAATGAAACAAGAGAATGCAAGTGATGGATTTTTGACCGAGGCAGGTGTTGGGCACTTTGTCCTTAAGATGAATTTGCCCCCGCATCGGTGCTAAAGGTTTTTCGACAATCATCTCTCAAGATACAATAACTACATCAAGCCATATGAACACTTCAAATGATTTCGACCAACGAACTCGAACGAAATTTCCTTTCTACCATGACCATGATTTTGTTGCAAAATTGAATCACTTCTATAAAGTATTTTATGCAACATGACATGAAAGAATAATTTATGTGGGATCAAAATAAACATCCAAATGATCCTATATATAGGAGTTGAAGGGTGGTAGGTGAAGAGACACACCCCAAATTTTAATTTCCTTCAAATAGGACCGAATTTCTCTTTCATATGCAAATCGGTCCTCAACCAATTTTCAACAATCCCCCACATGAATAGAAATTCCACATATGCAAATGATAATGCGGACACTAGTAGAAAGAGAGCGGAAAAACATTGCATTAGGTAAGGTAGCTTCTGACTTTGAAACCTTCCTTAGTAAATTACCATCGGATTTACTAGCTAATTGGTGAACGCGATGTTCTTGAACCATCAGCCGTTGGTGTAAACCAAGACAACAATATTTACACAATGTCTCCCATAAACCGTTTATAATTCTCATGACTTGGTTCATTTTGGCCATGAACCCATCTTGGTTCTATAAGTGTTTAGAGAATTCACGCCTTGAATAATTCTCATTGAAGCGGCCCCACTTCATACTTACATAAGTGATCTCCTATTAAGAGTATTCTGTCCTGCTCTACTTGACTTAATCAAGATACAGGAATCATTAAAAGTTTATCTTAACCTCCAACCACT